TTTTGTTTTAAGGTATATATAATGATACCAAACAAAGTATTGTTTGCGGCCTTGGAAGTATAAGTGTAACTAGTTTAGTATTAGATAACTACATTTATTTACACATTTATTTTGTATTTACATAATTTATATCCTCCCAAGGCAGCTTACCACAAAATACAACTAAAACCTTGATGATACAAAAGTTTGAAGTGATTAAATTAGTTATCTTGTTAACACATTTATAAGACTTAACACTTTTAAGTCACATTTAGGAAGAAGTGTGAAGTCTTTTTAATAGGGGAAAGGGTGGGATGTCGGCAAGGACGGTGTTATCAACTAAAATTATGTGTATATTACCGTATATAAATTCTGTTTTATTTGTGTTTGTGTGTTTGTATTTCTCCTCCTCCTCCTCCTCCTGTTTTTCTTTGAAACACCAAATCATTGAAAAAAACATTTATAAGCTCAAGCAGTATAACATAATTTTAAAAACCTAGCTATGAATATAAAAATGTGGCACATACACCCTGTTGCAAAATCCTTCTGCACAAGCAATTAATCACTAAATGCCTATTTAAATGAAAAAGGTCTTTACCTGCTGGTGAAAGGAAAAGAGAGAAGGGACCAGCTTAGCTTTTCATGGGACGCAATTCAACATCCTGAGAGCAACCACCAAGAAGGTCTTCTCATGTTTCTTGTGACAGTAATAGAACTATGAAAAAGCCCTCATTCAAAGATCATAAGAATTAGGCATGCTGTATTGGAAGATAACCATCTTTAAGATAAACTGGGATTTATTGAATTAATAACTGTCCAAATCCTGGGATTCATTCACACTACATAATTATAGAGCTATATTCTACTGTATCTGTCATAGCAACATCTCATTAAATCTTGAGACTGGCAGTTTAGGGAAGGGCTTTTAGGATTCTCAGACAGAGTAATTTAGTGCCTCACCAGACTACCAGTCCCAGGATTCCAGAGGATGGAACCATGGCAGTTAAAGTGGAATAATAATGCTATAATTCTATAGTGTGAATGAGCCTCAGGTCTGTATCCAATCTAGGCAAAATCCAAACTAGAGTAGATCCATTGAATCAATTATCAAGTGCTGTGTCAACACATAGATTAATCAAATCAATTTAATAGATCTACTTTACTTGGGAGCAACAGTAACATTTAAGTCCCCCCCCCCCTTTTTTTTTTTTTTTTAAAAAAAAGGCATTTTGCTTTTTTCATAGTCCAGGTCAACTCATTTAAACATGGTCTGTATTTAAATTCCCACCTCATTCATCCCACTTCACAAACATACACACCAGTGCAGCCTTCAGTCCTTTCACCACAAAATGTTTGGCTATGGGCTCATGCCATTTTGAAATTCATTCCTGTTCCTCAAAACCCAAGCATAATGCTGGCAACCACAAGATCTAATATTTCTAGCTGGAAACCACAAAACTTAGTAACTTGCGATGTCCTAACATGAACTATTTCAGCATCACAGAGTTTGTTTCTTGAATTTTTCATGGCTCCATCCATTCTCCAGACTCTTTCCTTCCTTCTCTGATGCTTTTAACAGTGCACACAATTACTGTGAAGTTATTTTATGAGCTCAGGGCACATGCCTTTCTATGTTCCATCACTCGTTTCTTTGATACGTCTTCAGAGACAAGAACAAAGGGCCTTAAAGGGCTTTGTTTGGTGTTTAGATGCTCTGTGCTCTTCTGCAAATGAGTACCTGTCACAAATAATCCACTGCAGATTTGGACTTCTGAATACAAGTTTGACATCTCTCAGAGGGGAAAGAAAGATTAATCTTCCTTACAACGTAAGGGGGGGGGGGAGGAGGCAGAGAAAGAATGCATTCCTGGTGAAGGTTGCTAGCAACCCAATAATATGTCAGAATCGGTAGGCTGCTAATAGTATGAACCTTGGCCACTGCAAGAAAGGGATATTTCATATCAGCTCTGGGCGACATTGATCAGCTGGATTGGTGGAGATAATTTGAGATGATCACTGCTTCAACATCCCTTTCCCAGAAAGACGGAATGAGAAAATGGACCTTGATGAATGAGAATGGGATCCTCAGGGTGTGATTTTGCAAACAAAGGTGTCTTCCTAATGGCCAGTTAAAGGGCTTAGGTTTAAGTTTGTTGTTGTTGTTGTTGTTGTTGTTGTGTGCCTTCAAGTCATTTCAGACTTGAAATGGGGTTTTCTTGTGAAGTTTTCTTCAGGTTTTCTTGGGAAGATTTCGTTGGAGGAGGTTTGTCTTTGCCCTCCTCTGAGGCTATGGGAATGTGACTTGCCCAAGGTCACCTAGTACAGTACCTAATTTATTCATCCTCTCTCTTCTCAATATCAGTTAATTCATTAAATCCCGCCCTTCAAAAACATTCCTGACACAGGTTACACAACATTGCAAATGCTATAATGCAATTCAAATAAAAGCAACATATAAAATCTAAATCAGCAGAAAAATCAGAGCTTGGAGGAGTTATCTTTTGGCAGGATCATAATACCCAGAATCCCATACAATGAGTATGGTCAGTGGCAAAGTTGGCAGAGGGATTGATGACCAATCATGAAATAATGAGACCAGACACAGAAAGTTAGGTTAAATAAGGGCCATTTTATTTGACCTATGTCCTGCTTAAGTTAATTGGACCTGAAAGGAGGAAGAGGGGAGCAACCTCATGTGGGTCAACCTGAGGTGTCTGCTCTAGACATCCTCTTCAGTTTTCCCTTAGATGAAATGCCTGAGCCCCAAGGGCAAGCCAACAGTTTTTTTCCCCTCTCCAGACACTTAGTGGAAGGAAAACAGTACTCCCACCTACGGTACTCCCACCCAAGTCCCAGGACCTTATAAGTCAGAGCAAAATCTCCAGATCAACCTCAAGGGTAGACTCTTTTCCCACTGCCAGATCCCAGGAACTGTATAGGCTGTTCCAGTGCCCTGCTTTTCACGAAGGTATGCACTGAAGTCTTAAATTCTCCTGCAACTACCTACCAAATAATGGACTATTTAAAGTCACTACACAGAGCCAATTGTCAAAATTCCTCCAGGTCAAGAGGAGAAAATGTCTACCTGCCCCAAAGCAACCAGCAAACTCACACTGCACTGAGGGCAGGAGGATCTGCCATTCTGTGATGATCTCAAGAGACAAAGGAAGGGGCAGCCAGACCTTAAATAGCCTTATACTCTGCCCCATTCCAGCACCCTGTGTTGCATACAAAGCCTCCTGGTCCATGAAGACCATAAAAAAGTACACTCCCCCCAGCGTCTTTTGCCGTGCTGGTCCACGCTGGTCCACATATGTATTCTGGGTGTGGTAGTCAAAAAGTCACGAGGATAAAACCAAAAACAGCAGAAAAATCAGAGCTTGGAGAGTTATTCTTTTGGACTACCACAACTTCACAGCAAGAATGGCCTATAGCTATGTGGGATTTGGGGAATTGTAGTCACTTTTCCATGCTCTGTTTTTATCACCCTGTTCTGCTTAGCATTAAGGTTTTCACTAGCTCCTTTTAATATGAGGGATAACAGTGGCACATATAAATATTTATTAGTTGTCATCATCATCATCATCATCATAAAAATTCTGCATGGAGAATTTTAAACCATCTGAACTGAGTGCAAGAAGAGGCATACTATGAGACCAGTTTGGACAACCTGCAATTTTCCAAATATTTGTGTGCATGTCTTTAACTGAAAGACTGTCTCAGTTTTAGTTATCTGTCTTTTCCCAATGTTGCTATAATAGCATTTCCATCATGACTGCCTTGAAGTTCTCCATATAGACTGATGCACAGTTCGTGGTGTCTGTTTTGAATTTGGATTGCCTGTTTTTCAAATGTAGAGACACTGCCATCTGGTTTTTATATAGAAACATATACAAACACAAACCAAGAAAACCATAAGAAATGCAGATGTTCTCTTGTTTACAACCCCAGATACTTTGACCCAGCCTGGGAATCATATTCTGTGGGTCAGCAAACGCTGCTGTGAAAAGTCCAAACTTCAGATTTCCCAATGCTTCCAAAATGTAAAAATCTCTCCTTTTTATTTCAACCATTTTTTGTGTGTGTTGTTTTCTTTTTTTTTTTTTTTTTTTGCCTCCTACTTAAATTGTAATTGAGGATATTAAGTCTTTGAGCAGTTTTTTTTAAATATATATATAGAGAGAGGAATAATATGTCAAAGAGAAGCAAACCATTCTGTGTGCATTTCATATTCTTGCCTTCCATTCTTTTTTTCTGCTTGCACTGAGGCACTCGCTAATCCCGATTCTTGGCATTGCTGCTGCCAGCAGCCACCCTGTGGGACAAAATCCCTTTCTGCATGGTTAGCTGATGAATGTAAAGGACTTTCTCACCAAGTCTTGCCTGTGGTGTGAACTTGTCTGCTGAAAGATTCTACTTGAATGGGTTAAAAGAATCCATATTCACCACATAACGCCTACACGGGCCTGTGCCACAAAAGGAGGACTTGAATGAGATGCACACACACACACATACATACATACACAGAATGTGAATCAGGGATAGAGTTGGAGGGGATAGAAGGAAGAATGAGTCTGGTTTTTGAAAATTAGCAAAGGACCTACATTTCCGTGGTTACAGCACTTGAGGCAATGAGAACAGCCTGCTAATCAGCTGCATCATTGTAATGCTCTTCCCCGGTTCCCTTGCTTGCTTCTTTTTTTATTTTCTCATTTGAAGAGGTTAAAATCAACATTCCTTGGTCTTGTCTTCCTTCTCCCCCCCCCCCCCCCCCCCCCGCCGCATCTGAGTCACTTTCGCCCAGACACACAATGAATCAGCAGCTGCACAAAAGGGATAGGTACATCGGATGCTCCAAGATAGCTAAGGCAAGGAGGAGAAATCTGCTTATGGAAGAGCCACTGGGAAGAGAAGGCCATTTCACACACTTGGCAAGACTTGTTCAGAGGAGGTTTGCCATTGCCTTCCCCTGAGGCTGAGAGCATGTGACCTGCCCAAGGTCACCCAGTAGGTTTCATGGCTGAGCTGGGAAATCGAACCCTCGTCTTCAGATTCGCAGTCCAACACTCAAACCACTATGCCATGCTGGCTCATTTCACGCATTACATGGAGCTAAATCTTAGAAACATTAATAGAGCCAGTGTGGTGTAGTGGTTGAGCATTGGACTATAAGTGTGGAGAACAGGGTTTGAATCCCTGCTTTGCCATGGAAATCCTTTGGGTGACCTTGGGCAAATCACACTTTTCCAGACTCAGTGGAAGGCAAAAGCAACCCCTCTCTGACCAAATCTTGCCATGAAAACCCTGTGATAGGTTCACCTTCAGGTTGTCATAAGTCAGAAATGACTTGAAGGCACAGAACAGCAAAACAGTAGAAAAAGTGGTCTAGTGGCTTGAGTGTTGAACAAGGACTCCAGGAGGACAGGTATCAAATCCTTGTGCCCATGGGAACCAATCCACTGGGTGACCATGTGTACATCACACTTTCTGAGCCTCAGAGGAAGGCAGTGACAAACCTCCTCTGAATAAATCTTGTCAAGAAAATCCTGTTAGAGAGCAACCCTAAGTTGGAATCAACTTGAGGATACAACAACTAACACTGATTTGCTAGCTGAGATACAGGCCAAAGAGAGTTGCAGGCAGTCCTGGCTCCTTTATGAACATACCTGTATGAAAAGTTCAAGCCAGTTTGAATGCATTCAAATGCTACAGTTTTTGGATACATAGCTAAAAGAGAATTCATTGTGAAGTAGGCACTGGAGATTGGTGGTGCACTGAATCTGCTTTGGGGTGTCCCCCACCCACCAAATTTTAAAGGAGCTTGCCAAGGTGCTGAGCTTGTGGGGGGGGGGGGTCAGGGCTCCCTACCTTGGATAGTTCCTTTAGGGCAGGGGTGAGCAAAGAGGCCTGTAGACACATTTGCCCCCTAGGGCCATTTTGTGAGGGGGGGAAGACCAGTAAAAAATGTCTTTCAAACAATTATTTTTGCCCTGAAATATCCTCTAGGGACCATGGGAGTATTTTCACCATGATTCCTCCCCTCCAGGGCCATGTAAGTCCTTGGGGAGGACTGTGTTAATTTCCAGTTACTTTCAGGGAGGTTTAAGGCCTTAAATATGACAAAAATGCCCCCAAGCTCCCTAGAGGGTATTTCAATGGATTTTTATTTAATTAATTTTTTTGCAGTGTGTGGGGTGGGTGTGTGTAGACCTCCAAGATCTCCTGAGGGCTAATGTATCTCCCCAGCCACCACAGTTGTCCACCTCTGCTTTAGAGGCTGGGGTGAAGCCCAGAGTGGATTGACTTAGCATGGGAAACCACTAACCATCCTTGAGTTACTACAATGTAACCTGGGACTGAAGCCTTCTGCCTTTTTTATTAGCAGGACAGTGATGCCACTTGCCATCATATCAGGGTCCCTTGTTCTCTCTGAGCTAAGTCCTCACAGCCTTGTAGTGTTGCAAGATCCCCCTCTTGTAATCCAAAGTATTTCCAGGTGGCTTAATCATAAATTGGCACTTATGACCCATTCGATTTACAAAAGATATGACTACAGTAGAGATGAAACACAGCATTTGGAATTGTCATCCACTATCTCCTCCAAGACACTATCCTAATCTCTTTTCATTGTTTGACATACATGCCAATTTCCCCCTACCTTGAAATATAAGACACCATAGCATCATAGTGTTGTAGTGATGTATAGTCTGTTGCTTTCCTGTTTCAGCCACAGGCTTTGCTTATCCTAACACTGCCCTCCCCCAGAACTGTATTTTTTACTAACATTAGCCTGATCCCAGTGAAGAAGTGAGGGCCACCCAAACCCAACCTAACCCATGCACCCCAGTTGCCAGAGCTTCCCATTATCCTCAGAAGAACTTGCTAGGCCATAGCCATGCCTCTTCTATGGCCTCTTAATTCACTCATTGTCTGGCTTTGGGTGGGCAGTGATGGGTCCTGGTACACTTGGTCAAGGAAGGAAACGGTTGGCTCTTGGAGATGAGTGCCACCATCTGAGAGTCACTGTTAAGTGATCACTTTGAAGCAACTACCACCACTATTCATAGAAACAACAAAATGAATTAAATGCTGAAACTGATCACTATTATGTTTTCCCACCCAAAGCATGCCCACTAGACTACCCCCAGACTGCTCAAAATTGGAATAAAAACCAAACCAAACTTTTGCACAACAATCATTGCATAACAGAAGTGGCAAAGGAAGTCATTACTAGTTTTTTTTATGTTAATAAAAAGAAATGCATCAGAATAGGGACAACATCTTGAAATAAGCACTAATATTCTGATGCTATTCTGATTTACCTGCGTTGTGTGATAAGGCTCTGGGAGAGAGAGAAAGACAGAGAAGGAATGGCATAGAGAGACAAAGGAGGTGGCAGAAAAAGAGGGGAGTGAGAAATGTGGTGGCATGGAGAAAGAGAAAAAAGTGAAGTGGAAGAAAAGAAGAGAATAAAAAAATGGTCACCCCACCTATTTTTGCCTCTTGTTCCACCCATCATTGGGTTCAGCCCATTTCTGGTATATGGCCTCCATCCAATTATTCCCAATAAAACGTGGTCTTGGCTAGAAAAAAGAAAGAAGGGAAAGGAAATACTTTAATTATTGACTTTGAATTAAAGATGGTTCCATGATGCTAATCACAGGAGCCTTTGTACAAACCTTCCTTGCTACAGCTGGAACAACAGATACAAATGTGACATCTATCTCATCCCAGTCGGAGTGCCATCTCTCTGGACTGCATGGCTTTCAATGCTATGTACATCCACAGAGTTTACCCACTGGTATAAATGGGCTGTCTGGTTTAAATTAGCAAAAGTGAGAAGTTTGATTCTCCCTGATCACCATTGTTTTTTTCTTTATTAATGTCAAACTCTATTAGTTTGATTAGCCAAGCATTTTTGAGATTTGAACTCAGCTGAAGGGAGAAAGAACTAGGGTTTGAAGCTGTTGTGAACAGTAAGCCCTGATCTGAGAAAGATTCTACATATTTCACACATGTACTTTTTCCCCTGCTAAAATCAGATCTCCAGGTACTTTTTTCAACTAGACTGTACCAGTTCCATTTTTAGCCTCATGGAACTGCTGATCATACATCTGGTTTGGCCCTTTGTGGGGTTTGTTTAATGGCAGTTCTGTTTCTCCTATGGTTAGCATTTCATGGTGGTAGTGAATACCACAGGGACTAGAACCTTTGTCAAGAAATTTCGTGTAACAAGAAGTTATGCAATATCATGGAGGCTCATGATGCTTAAATAAGTAAACACTTAGGATGAGAAAAGCGGGGAGGAATTGGGGACGGATGGAAGCAGAAGTGAAAAGTTCACAGTGTTATAAACAAAGGAAATAAACTGTGGGAAATGAACTGAAAGAGAGCTTAGGGCAAGGAAATCTATCCAGCAACATGCCAGAGATGAGAGACAAAGATGCTACTGTGCCTTTAGACTTCAGTTTTACTGCCACAAGCTGTGCAGAGCCCATGAAGACTGCTCATAATCTGTTTTTCCTCTTGGACTTTCCACTGGGAATGGCTGTTTGCATCAAACTGACCCCTGGACTCTTCTCTCCACTTCCTTTCTGAATGGGGTCTCCCTGGGATGCTCAGCCATCTGGTTGTTTGTTACTGTTGGAGCATCAATGGGAATTCAATGTACTCTTGTTTTTTTCCTCCCTCCTTTTACCTCCTTCCTGTTTAGAATTCTTCACTACTTCTTTTGATATTGTCAGCAATCGCTCTTCTTCACCTGAGAATCTCCCTCTTCCCAAAGCTCTTTAAGGAACAGCCTCCTTGTTCTTGCTGTTGCAAGATCAATTCAAGGTGCTGGTGCTGTCCTAAATGGCTTGAGGCCAAGATATCTGAAAGTCTACCTCCTCCGATATGAGCTTGCCAGAAATGTGAGATCTTTAGAGGAGGCTCTATTGCATGTCCCAACACTTCATGAATTTAGATGGGTGGGTACACATAATAGGACTTTCTCTGTATCAGCACCTTGATTGTGGAACTCCTAACCCAAGGAGGTTCGGCTGGGCCCATTGCTTTTAAGCTTCTGTTGGGCAGCCTAAAAGGTGCTGTTTTACATGGTATTCAGTGTCTGAAAGTGCTGTTTTAACTGTTTCAAAACAGGATTCTATGACTGTTTGTAGACTGCTTTTAGGAGTTTTAAATAATATTTTAATGTGTTTTTAAAGTGTTTCTGTCTTTGTGTTGTTTAATTGTTTCTTTTAATTGCCTTGGGAGGCCTTGTGGACTGGGAGATGATAAAGATTTGCTATAAATAAATGCACAAACTAATAAATAAACAAGCCTGCCTGAGATCCATCTGCTGTAGCTATTGAGACAGCTAGTCCTTGCAAATCATCTGCAGTGTGGTGTTTCACCCTGGATTACTGCTGGGCACAACTATAAAAATATGGTTGTTGTTGTAATGTATGGGTTTACTCTGGCTTTCTTCCATGGAAGTTTGGATAGTATATATCCTCCCCTCTTTTATTGTTGTAATAACTTTGTGAAGTATGGTAAGTTGGAAGATGGTAAGTAGCCTCCTTGGGTTGCTGGTTGAGTGTGGATTTGAGCCTGACTTTCCTCAGTCATTGTCCAATATTCTAACCAGTATGTTGTAACTGACTGGGAGAGAAGAGAAGCCATGTGAGTAGTTAGCAGCCCAGAGGTCAAGAAGCTGAGGAATCAGTCAGTAGTCAGGAAAACTATAACAGGCAGAGAGGCATGCAAAAGAGTAGTCAAGGTCCAGTTCCAAGGGTCCAGAAAAAAGGGCAGAGTCTCCAAGGTGGCTTGGGTGTCTTCGCCACAGAGCGTGTGATGGGTATTGCTCCCGGCAGCTTATGGGTGTTTGCTGCCTGCCTTATCTAGACAGGCTAATTGTTCAATTGTTCAGTGTGAACAGCTGAGGCAGACGTACTCAGCCCCTGCTCAAACACTCTTGTACTACTGCTATCCTAGAGAGAGGCACAACATAGCAGTGGTTGGGTTGGTGACTCCACTGTGGGTTATGGACAGCTTTAGAGAATTTATGTGTTGTAAATAACTTGGTGAGGTATGCAGCTAAGAGGAGTCAAAACAGTCCAGAGGTCAAAAAATGAATAAAGTCCAATCTGAGTGAAACCAATTGGTTGGAGGGATGTGCAGAAGGACAATCTGGAGAAGCCATTGCCATAAGTCATGGGACTTAAGG